AAAAAAAAAAAAAAATCTGGATAGGTAAATATGTACTAACACTCCATCATCTTTTTTTTTTTTTTTCCAAACGATTAATTATATTAAATTAAACTCAAATAAACGTATTACAACCGATTGATCAAATAACCAGGGGGGCTTTGACCTACAGCCTGAAAGCAACTAAACAGCCCCAAGGGGAAGTAACCAATACAACCCAATCCGCAAAAATATAACTAATACAACCAATTATCCAGGCTCCATTTGATAGCTTGCATTGTAGCTTCCACCTCATTATAAGCTTGGGCCACTGATCTTCTCCACAGATGAGTTTCTGTTCCATCCTCTGCTTTACAACTAGCTTCAAAACAGCCTCCCAAAGAACCCAAGGCACTGATATATAATCTCTTATGTCCTACCTTCTTGGAAAATTGGTTTTTGAGATTCTGAGATGAAGACATGTTGTATTGAGCTGCTCATTATTATCTGCAATGTTAGAGATCTCCAGCCAGTAAGAAAGAGTTTTTTCTACAATTTCCTTCTCCTGCCTATATATATTGCTCCACATCCAATCATTCCTGCTTTTCCACAAATTCCAAATCAGCAAGGCAGATAAACACATTCTTTCAGTCCTGCAATGATTGTCTTTAATTTCTGCATAGATCTAACCACCAACTTTGAAAGCTGACATTGCCCTTCTGAATTGAGTTCCATTGGATTCCTAAAAGCTTCCAACATAGTATAGCTCTGTGGCAATAGAAGAAAATATGAGATAAGGTTTCTTCATCTTCTCCACAGACTTCACATATCGTGTCAGCAACTACTCCTTTGCCTTTCAAGATCTATTTTGAGTTTATGAAATTGTTCCAGCATCTCCACACAAAGTTTTTAACTCTTCCTGTAAAGGGTAGATGCCATGATATCTTCCACATTCTCTTTAGTTCACCTGGGTAGCCACTGCAATGAGCCTCTGCTGGATCTGACTTTAGATTTTAAGCACCACCTTGTACACCTCCTTAACAGAAAAATGACCTTTCTTGCTCCAATGCCAAATGAGATGATCCCTGCCACTTTGAGGGTGCAGGGGAATTTGTAAAATGAGATCTGCATCTAAAGGAGTAAATGTTTTGATCACAAGATCCCTATTCCAAGTCATTGAGGATTGACAAATGAAATCTTTAACTCTATTCAGGTACCTCCTATCAGGGGGAAAGGGACAGCTAGGCTTAAAAGAGGAGTTATTAGGAACCCAAGGAGAGTCCCAAATAGATATATCATGCCCATTTCCCAAATAGCTCCTAACTCTAAATACTTCCTAGCCCCCATCCAGCTTTTCCATAGCCAAGAATCACTCCCCCTAACTCTAACCTCACTCAAGTTTTGATTCCTAAAATATATACCCTTCATGACTCTACTAACAAGAAGATTGGGTTTAGTGATAAGTCTCCA